TCACTGCTTGCTTACTTTAAAATGGGACATTTATTTTAAAAAATTTACAAAACAGCAAATTTTGTAGCCTGTTGTGTCACCGTATTAGTTTTTTGAAATGCAATAGTTATAAGATCTCAGAAAATTTGGAATAAATCAATGCAGAAGTATGAACACACATGGCTTTAGTTGTTGCACAAGTAGGGGTTGATATGTTCTCATTGTTGGAAGTTATGGTTCATCGCTCACATTCATGCTGCTTTAGCTCGTCACAGATTTTGAGACCGGCTCTGATCTTTCATTGCAGGTGTAGGAATGTTTCATGCCTCATTATATGCAGACGACACTGTCCTGTTTTCTTTTAAAGAACCTAATACTGTCCTTTCCTGCATGTAGTCATTATCATAATGATATTGGACTTACATTCATCAGGTAGCCAGAATACAACTCCATATCAACTTAAAATGTGGTAAAAGTTCATCTTTTGGCTTGTTTCAATTCCCTTAAGTGCCAAAAATTCAGCTCTTGCAGGTTTACATAAGAAAATCCTAAATATTATACATTAAAATGATCTATCTATCCTATCCCTGCATTCATCTGCATGCCCGTTAGAGGCATATATATTATATTCTACAGAAGTGATTTTTCCTTTCAGCTGTCCAGAGGATGGCCCAGGCCCACTTGGCCTCACTAGACATGAGATCTGTGGACAAAGAAGATTCCTCTTCTGAGGAAGAAGAGGAGCACCGTGATGAGCAGAAGCAGCCGACGGCCTCAGCTACAGGTGGGCAGGACAGAGCACTCATCCACTTTATTCAGCTTTTCTCTCTTGAGTTGGTGCCTGCAGCAAACATATACATCACTTACGCTTTTGAAATTCCTTTTCATATCAGATCTAAGAGAAGAAAGCAAACCGCTCAGAGATCAGTGTGGCCGGCCGGACAGTTCATCAGATCTCAGCCGTCACCAGGAAGACAAAGAGAAGGCCAAAGAACGAGAGGAGGGAAAGGGAGAATGACAAAAATAGAGGGCTCTGACGGAGACAGAGTGTTAGCGAGGAATCCATTTGCATTGCACACGTATGGACCATGCGTGTGCATGCATGGGTGTACGTATGAGTGTGTTGTTTGGATCTGTGAGTGTGTGCATGCATGCAACAAACGAGGCGAATGTGGAAAAGAGAGGGAGGAAAACAAACGGTCACTGAGGAGGGTCAGAATATTAATGAGCAGGTAGGAGGAAAAGTTTAACTTGAGACTTGTGAAAGAAATCACGTCTCAGTCAGCCAAAGAACCAGGGCTCGGTTCTAATCAGCCAAGGACACCGCACAAGAAACCTGAAAACTAAGGACTGGGCTGTTTTCATAAGCATAAAGATGTTTTTTATGAAGATCCAAAAAGATTCAGAGGGACTCTGGTGTTAGATGTTAAATTCCATTATTCACATCATGAATCCTCGTTTGTTACGAAGCCTAATAAACAGAACTTTGCAGCTTACGGTTTATTTGAACGCATACTGTACATATTGACGTGTCATGTGTAGTGTCATGTGACTGTTGTTGCTGCAACAAGGGCTGACATACCGGAGCAGGTTGGTGTTTAAGGTGCATCACATAGAACATGTGAACGAGCTCCTGAGGCGATGCAGGTATGAGACACTATTTTAAATAATAAACTCAGAGCGACACACACACACCGACCCCTATCGGAAGAGCTGCTTCCAAAGTTATGCATAACTTCGAAGTTTGCTTTCCTCAGCCTTTTAGATGCTTGCGTGCAAGGTCAAGGAACTCAAAGGAGGGTGGATTACCGGCGATTTGAGCGAGTCACGGCCACAGCAGGCCAGATTATACCATATCAGACTAATCCAACTAATCATGATAATGCCGCGCAGTTTTTGGGGTTTGGTATTATGAGCAGGCTTTTTGTGACATGGCGATTAGCAGCATGATCTGTTTGGGATGGCACACATGTTGGCTGGAGAGAAAACCTACCTTTTATTTTCAGAATCGTACGTATATGTGATGAGCGTGAAGGTTCATTCATGACCCCGTATGTGCAGTAAGTGATGTTTTGTGTTGGTTGCTAATAAAAGCTATTCAATAGGCTGCTGGTGTGATTGTGTATCTATAGAATGTGTGTGCTGAAATGTGCAGTGCTCCAGTCATGTTAGGAAAGAGAAAGGCCTTCATTAGGTATTTTACACACATGAGTGAACACATGAGTCAACATGGAGTTTTTCAATACAGCTGCAGATTTTATTAAAGCAGGATTCTGAACAACTGGAGGCACTTTTATTATCTTGCTGACTATTTGTGTTCTTTTCCACATTTGCAATGTTCCAGAAGAAGTTAGAAGACGATCAAAAAGCAGATAAAACCGATTTCACACGACTGGCACAGGATTTTCTCAGTCAGGCACAGAATGACGTGTTGTGGTTCTCTGTGTTTCGTTTATATTTCTTTAGTGTATCTTTCTTCATTTCTATATTAATTTCTCTTCATCTATTGTGATTCCTTCTATACGTGCAACTGGTCTGCAGTAATAAACGACATTAAATCACTTTTTAGAAAACAGTGAGTGTCAATAAAGACTCAGAATGGCCAATGGTGACACCCAGTGTTCAGTGCTTTAATTACATGATTCATTTCTGAGACCTATGTCTAAACTGATTAAAAAGGTTGACATAACACACCAATAATAAGATGAACCCATGCAAATGTAGTGAGACAGGGTGAGGGATGATTTCTTTTTTCATTTCTGTGTCAGATCAACTCCCCCCTCTGCTGCTATATAATAATAATAATGATGATAAACTTTATTTATCTATCTCAACAGAATTCAGAAAACCACAAGATGAACCTGAATAGTTAGATATTTAACAGCTGATTGAAATGAACACATGCAGAGCTGGATAACTGTAGGATGTGCACACAGACAGTCCAACTAACGTCTACGTTCTCGGTGCTGCAGTAGCTCGGTTTGAACTGCAGGAGGCGCTGTGCAATTACATTTCCAACACTAATGAGTGCTTTGGCAACAACAGGGAGTATTGATGCACCTTTAAATACTAACTGTTAAAGTTCAACTAAGTTAAAGGAAGTAAACGGAGATACCTAATTGGCAGGTTTCTTCCTGGACAATAAGCTGCTGATTGTCTTCATAGGAACACATCTGAAGCAGCTTCTCACCCAAAACTAAGTGTGTGTGGGCCTTATTACTAGCAGCAAAAGTGAATGTATTATTTGTAACTGCTAAGCGTTGCGTTTGCCTCAGCTCAATCTATAATCTGTCCTGGTAGTTCTCCTTGAATTCTTTCTATCTGCCCTCTTTGCACTTTACATGTTAATCCTTCCTTGCCTTTGCAAAAAACACTCCAGTCACGTCGTCCACCCCCACCCTCATATCCTGAGGCAGGGTGTAGACTTCCAGCCGGATGAGGGTGTAGCTGCTCTCCTTCAGACTAGCACAGACCTGAGCCTCGTTCAGCGGGACCACAGGGATCCTCACCCCGGGCCCCCCAAAATAGTAGCTCTCTCCCAGGGCTCCAATGAGCAGGAGGTGGCCACCAGGCCGCAGCAGCTTCCAGATGTGGCCCAGCGCCCTGGTGAAGGCAGCCAGGTCGGGGCTGACGCTCTCCAGGCAGAAGCAGGACACCAGGCAGTCGGCCCCCGCTGATGGGAGGGCATCAGGGGCCAGGGGCTGGGAGCAGTGCACGTCGATGGGGAGGATGTCTGCGATGACCTGACGTAGCTTCGCAGCTTTCTCCGTCCACGCTGAGAGCCTGGCAGAGGCGAGATCAGTGCATTATCAGATTACATAGAAACAGCTGCAGAGATGGCACAACACAGCGGCTGTCTGCAGCCTTTGTTTTTACCGTGTGCATGTTATTCTGAGAGAAACGTCTCAGCAAGGTGGATTAGGATCAAATCTGCATTTGTGTCGGCCTCAGGACGACTTGTGAGTCCTGCACCAGCTCTGTGCTGTGACTCATGGCGCTCCCTTCAGTCCAAACTGTATATTTGTAATTAGGGCGAATTAACCATTTATTTATTTTATTGTTTTTACTTTAAGTTGGTGTATATTAGGTTCATTTTTTTTGTATCTGGCAGCTGTAACACGAGCAAGGGATGAGAAAAAAGAGCATCTATCTATTTATCTGTTATCTGGACGAAGATGATGAAATGGAAAGAATTCATCTTGTCTGAGACCAGTCGTCTGGCTTTGGTTTCTGATTATGTGTTTATGTGCCTTCTTATTAAAGTTTCAAACACAGCACATGGATGATTCATTGCTCAGTGACGAGGGCAGACAGAAGATCATGACATTTGAAGAATGAGGGAGGAGCTGTTACCACAAGTAAAGTAAAGCAGAGAAGAAGCTGTGATGCTGTAAACCTGCATAAAGAGAAAAGGAATCACTGGATGTCTGCTAAAGAGGATTTTTTTCTCTCCCCAGGACACACTGCATATTAAAGATATAAGCCATCTGATGATACCAGCCTAACGCGCTCCATCTCTGTGACCCTTATTTACCAATATTTCAGTCAGTACCGGTCCATAAGAACAGCTGATGTGTTCCATACCGTCGTCCCTCCAGCTTGCACACATGCTGTAGATAAGGTGTCCAGTCCAGACTGCAGCCTGCTTCGTCCTGGAGCCAGCGTCTCAGCTCCTGCCGGTTCACCTCCAGAAAGTCTGTCAGGATCACCTTGTTGAAAACCTCACAGCCACTCAGCACCTGGTACAAGGTGGGACCCGAACCGATATCCACCAGGAGCTCCCCGCTCACATCATCTGGCAAAGAAGGAAAGGAGGGGAGAGACTAGGACCTAATGCAGAGTTCTGGAACGTCTGGAGTAGATTCACACTTTCCTGAACCAGTTAGATGTCCATCCATCAACTATACACCTTAACCCTCACTCGGGGGGCGGAGTCTATCCCAGCTGACTCAGGGTGAAGGCAGGTTCACCTGGACAGGTAACCAGTCTATCACAGGGCTACACTTAGAGACAGACAACCAAGCACACTCACATTCACACCTACGGACAATTTACAATCACCAATTAACCTCAACATGTTTCTGGACTGTGGGAGGAAGCCGGAGAACCCGGAGAGAACCCACGCTGCACGGGGAGAACATGGAGACTCCACGCAGGAAGATCCCGGGTGTCCTCACCGGGACGCCAACCGGCGACCTTCTAGCTGTGAGGTGCTAACGGAGCTAACCACTGAACCACCTGCAGCCCTCAGGTAGATGTCAAGCAGTAAAATGATGTTTTATCTTGATGAAACGTTTCCTACAGATCCAGACACAGAACTGGGTCTGAAGTTATCAAGGCTGTGACAGTGGAAACTTTCAGACTTATATTGTGTGAAAGTCGATGCATTAGAGAAAATAATCCTTAAGAAATTAGAGACTAAAGAGTAGCATCAAAACAAGATTTGGTTTATAAGAAGAATATTTTTGAACCACTTTACTCAGAACTACATCAAACTGGTGAATGTACTGAAATGCTTTTATATATATAATATGAAGACCAAGTGCTAGAGGAGGTCTTCCTTTCATTTAACCTGCTGTGTTTGGAGAATTTGGGTTTAATACTTTAAGAACAAACAAAGCTGTTTGGGTCTGAGCGCTGCTTGGATCAACCAAGGAGGGCTGGTGAATCGGTGTTAATCAGAAAAAGAAAAAGCACATTTCCACTTGTTTGCTTGCATAATGTAAGAATCCATGAAGCTCTTCTTACCTTCAGTGAAAGCTCTGTGCAGGCATGCCAGCTTCCACGGCACAATGCTGTCTTTTCTTGCAAAATCAGCCCTGGGCGGAGTGTAGTTGTACTGCAAGTACGCTGCAGGGTCAAACCTCTGGTAGCAGGCTGCCATGGCTGCTACTGCCTTCTCTCTTCCCTTTTCTTCCATCCTCCTGTTCTCTTTGTGGCTCTGCCTTCTGCTTCTGGTGGTCAGTGTCCAGGTACGCTGCAGCCCTCTGAGCCAAACTATATACCTGTGTGTGTGTGTGGGTGTATCTGTGCTATCGTGTGTGTGTTTGTGCTTTGGGCTACTCTTGAGCTCCAATGGCCAGAGATAGTGATCCTGTTGTTCGGACCACGCTGCCTGATAGCATTTGTTCTGTTCATGTTCACCGCCCCGAGGCGCTGATACCATCAGATCAGGGGGCTTCCTCCAACACTGCACCCATTAATGGACTCCTGGCACGGCTTTCAGGTCCTCCGCCCCCCAATCTAAGTCCCTTCATATCTACACAATCATTCTGGAGGGCCTCTTACGCTCCTGGGAGGCCAGGCTTGTCTCAGGCATCCCCTTTAGAGGAACACAACATGTCTGTCTCAAAGACCGACGGTTTTGTTTGTGTCTTGGTCGGCCGTTTTACTGACGGTGACATTTATACTGATTTATACTGAAAAACAGGTGAAGTAGAGAAAGTTTCTCAGACAAAACAGAAGTTTTAGCGCACAGAAAAAAAGCTGCTGCTTTCTGTCTTTTTGAAAACTGTATGTATAGAATGGGGCTGCAGGTGGATCAGTGGTTAGCGCCGGCGCCTCACAGCAAGAATATATTATATATAATATATATTCAGGACATTCTGAAACGTGACCATTTTTGACAAAAACGACATGCTATAGTATGACTTATATATAATATATATAATATAAATAATGTCTGACTATTGCAATAGAAACCAATATGTGAAGGAAACAGGCATAAAAGACGTGTGTTGCACATAATTCTTTACATGTTAAAGTACTGACTGATACATATATGTGCATATATGCAATTTGCTTTTCTGGTGACAAAAAACATGTAGAACATTAAAACAATAATACAGATCAAAAGAAGGATTTGTGTCCAGCTGGATGATTTTTTAGACATTTAAATACATTTCTTGTGGTGAAATTTGTGTTCCTTGTTGGCTTGAATCCCAGAACCTTGTGAAGATGATAAAGACTATAAAACACATGTCAGATGCATGTTTCACTTGGTAGGTGCTACATTGTGCATGAATGTACAGGCCTGTTTTCACCGTGAGCACACGCCTTGATCTGCAAACTTACATGACTTCAGGGTTGATTTTCATTATTTCTGCCGGAGAACAGGACGACTCTTACTTATTATTCAGTTAAAATGACACGTGAGATTGTAAAACCAGCAGCCACTGTGGCCAGCTGACAAAACCGTGAGCCTCACGCCTCAGCTTCATGAATCTGCTCTATTCCCAAAGCAGCGTTTTATACCGACCATTGTGGAACGCAGCCATGTGGTAATCAAACATATTCTTCCCTGGAGTAGTTTTTTTTAACACCTCGCTCATGCCTGGCAGCAGCAGAGTCCCAAACAAAGACACACACAGACTAAATATCACAGTGTCCAAAGCAGACACAGCATTGTGGATGTGGAGTTGTGCCATACAGTGCTGTTAAAATGAGGATATCTGGAGACGGGCCAGTCACACTGAGTGAATGGAGAGCATCCAAACTTCCCTTTAACACCACTTCTGAGACCGAACACATTTAATGTACCTATAATGAATACAAAAGACAAAGCAATTTACATTAAGCATGTAATGAACAGTAACAGGTATATGAATTATAATTTACATGAAGTGCATAAAAGACAGTTGATGCTTTGACCTCAGACTCACATCAGGCTTCACAGAATCTGCAGCAGTAACACTTTTTGCTGACATCCTGTGGTTGCTCCCTGGATGTGTGTTTATACAAATGGGGCTGCAGGTGGTTCGGTGGTTAGCACTGTTAGCGCCTCACAGCTAGAAGGTCGCCGGTTGGCGTCCCGGTGAGGACACCCGGGATCTTCCTGCGTGGAGTCTCCATGTTCTCCCCGTGCAGCGTGGGTTCTCTCCGGGTTCTCCGGCTTCCTCCCACAGTCCAGAAACATGCTGAGGTTAATTGGTGATTGTAAATTGTCCGTAGGTGTGAATGTGAGTGTGCTTGGTTGTCTGTCTCTAAGTGTAGCCCTGTGATAGACTGGTTACCTGTCCAGGTGAACCTGCCTTCACCCTGAGTCAGCTGGGATAGGCTCCGCCCCCTAGTGAGGATTAAGGTGTAGAGATGATGGATGTATAGAATGAAAACTGAAAACAGCCTGAGAGGTTCAACCACACCAGCGACAGATGCTGTAATGACAATGTCTTTTTTTCTTCAAACTCATGCAGATGATTTATTATTGTTGATTATTATTTATTGTTATTTATTATGATTTATTATTATTTATTATTTACTGTGATTTGAGCTGACGAAGCAAACATATAAGAAGATGCTGTCGTTTTGTTAAAAACCTTAACAAGCTGATAACTCTTATCATTTGCACTTATTGAGTATTAACTGATAACAGATGTTAAAGTCCAGGAACCTGCTGGAGGGACAGAAGCTGTGAAATGTTTCACTGAAACATGCGTCTCACTGCAGAAGTATATTTCCTCTATACATAAATACATATGGATTTTTAATGTCGTGTTTCTTTCTCAGCCTTTAAATGGCATCACAAACAAGCTTGCCTCTATCACTACATTAAAATAAACCTAAAAAAAAATCAATCGGTCTATTTGAAGGGATATTAAATCTGATCTGGAATCTGCCAATGATCTTTCTGACAGTCTCTGTAAATGTTTGTAATGGTAAATGATGCTGTGAGAAACGCTCCATGAAGAGGAATGTTTAGGTTAAAGCAATAGGTGCAGCTCACTTTTCCTGCACATGCTTTCATCTGACTGATCCTGTTTCCACTCAGCCTTCATGCTGCTGCTTTCTGTTTGCTTCTGGCAGGTTTTCCTTTTCAAGTTTGTCTTTGTCGGAACTTTTCGGTGAGCTTCAGTGTTCAGCTGAGACGGTCCAGCTCCTCTGATCCTCACCAGTGTCTTTCAGGTCAGCTTCAGTCTGCGTAGGTTGCTTGTAGGGAGCATAATGTGATGTGATGCCACCTGGACCTGGCGATAATAGAAGCCATCCCCACGATGCCACTGAGCCTGATTCCTACATCACGGTTACACGACAGCACGTTTGCACCTTCGATTCAAGGATGTGATCAAAGCTCAAAGCAAACGACACTTTGAAAAGTTCTGTTAAGAAACGGTGCAGAACAGAACATCACATTCAAAAACCATAATATCTCTGAAAATAGCAGCAAATATCTGTAATTAATGACATTTTAGCTGATTCAATGCAGCAAAACAGTTTAATTCAGTGATGCCACATATTATCTGCAATTTAACAATACAGGAAAATCTGTAGAAACCAGCCTGAAAAGTTATTTAGCATTTCTCAGTCTTCAAAATACAGAATGTTTCCTTCAAATATCAACAAATGTCTGTAAAGTATCTTTTCTTTTCTTCCTTTTTACTGATTATAACTCAGTGAAAGTAGTGCACACTTTTACAGACAAACACTGTCAATGAACAAATTACTGCTTTTAAAAATATAGATTTTAATGTGGACATTATTTACAGCTTTGGACTGTTTTTGTTTGTTTGTTTTTTTACAGTTACGTGTAAATTAATACTTTTGGTGATTTTACCAGCTATTATCAATAATTAAACAAAACAGTGGAAATCTGTAAAATAACAACAAATTCAATATTTTTTAAATTACAGTTAAAAGTTGTGAAAAGTATGTTGTTGTTGTTGTTGTTGTTGTTGTTTTTAACCGTATATCTAAGATTCTTCTT